AAAGCTATGGGTAATCCATCCAGATTTCCAAATCCCTGCCTATTGTCCATGTTTTTTCCATTTCAAAAAAATGACAAGAGACCACTAGCCACTAAGTATTCCTTTGTTCCTTTTCCCAGGTCTGCTCAATGACTTGCCAAATCCAAATTGTGAAAACACTCTAGTCTATCTTCGCCTCAGTGGCAATAAGTGACAGGCGCGCAGATTGAAACAGCTCAAACAGGCAGCGGCCATTCACAATCATATGAATAGACCTGAATGAAATCAAGCGCTTATCAAACCCTGATGATTGGGCTCCAGCATGCTAATTGGCTCTGATTGTGACTCTGCTTTTACTGCATGGTTTTACCCTCAAATGTCCTTAACATAGTTTGATGTTTCTGTGATGAAATGTTTAAACCAAACATGTTTAAACCACATGACCACATGTGTTCTGATTTAGCAATATATTTTTGACATGAAAAACGCAGAAACCACAAAACCACAATGCACACACTACATGCTATCAGAGATATACATGAAAGGGAATGAGCCACAAACCAGAATGCACTTACCTATGCTCGCTGTACAAGGAGAGGAGGAGGAGGAGGAGGAGGAGGGAGGGGCTGTGCTCCTATCTAGTTGTAAGTGGCTGTGCTTCAAAGACTGCAGCTCCAAAGGAGAGGGAATGAGGAACCCATCAAAGACACAGCAACCCTTCACTATGTTTGAACATAGTTCAAACCAATGTTTAAGAGTGGTTGTCCCAACCAGGGCCTTCTCCAATATTGAAATAATACATGTAAACAACTCCCAGACAATATCATATACTTTGGCTAAGGCTAAGGTTTCTGAGTTTGAAGTTTGTTTTTTGGACAATGTTTAAAAAAACACATGGGCACTTCCAGAAACACCCACTCGAGATTCAAGCTGCACATTTTCTTGGGCGAGAGTTGGCCAGAGAGAGTCGACTCGAGTATATGTCAAATTGGACTCAACTGAGTGACTCAGCAAAATCATTGCTCAAGGCTTCTCCTGGAGTTCTGGAACCATTGGAAAGTTCAAATATAATCCAACTACTACTAATGGGATTGTGATCTGATGCATGATCCAAGTTCAGCCTTGCAGAGCAATATACAACACTCTTGGTTGGAAACTCCCCCAGAAGCTGACTTTGACTTTAATTGACTTTGACACAGTGACCCTGCCAATCACACAATTATGAAACAGTGCAGTGCGAAGGTTGATTCTGCACTCTTGATGGTTGCAAGAGACTATGGAAATATGAGTTGAAGCCCAATTAATGCCCAACTCAAACAAAACTCATCAAAGAAGTGTGCTGGTGTTGGGTTCCTGTTGGCCCTGCACATTGGATTGGGATCATTGAGACTCTGACTTTGCATTGCCACAAATGATCTACCTGCTGCCCTGACAGTGACTGATGACTGTGACGCAACAGCAGTTTGAAAGTGGTTTAGTTGACTTGCACGGCACCTTGCCAAGCTTCAGCCCAGCCATTTCCTTAAGGTTTTTCTTCTGAGTACATCAAAACAAAACCTTTTTTCTTTGTGAACTTTGATGTGTTGCTATCACTTTGAGAAAGCCTCATGACTCATGGCCAATGGCAAGGCTGGCGGCTAGGTCTGCAATCCAATTTAAGTTCATGAGTCAACACTTCTGCAAAAGATAGCTCTGGCCGAGGCATTGGAAAATTGAATAATGATTGTGATATGATGCGCGATCCAAATTGGAGTTGAAGTTATTTTGATGCATCAAAATGTTTGAGATCTAAAAGTCTGAAACACAAACATTCTAATTCTAGATTCTAGATTCTTGTCACAAGTTGCCACTCTGATGTATATATGTGGTTCGGCTTCAGAGAACATGATCTTATCCAACACTCTTGGTTGGAAACTCCCCCAGAAGCTGACTTTGACTTTAATTGACTTTGACACAGTGACCCTGCTGAGGGCAATTAATAACACCGCCAGGGAACGCGTCTTTCCGGCACCAAAAACGCCTGCGATACAAAGGTCAGAACGGCCAGTGAGGATCGCCAGGAGCAATGCTACCGCAACAGTAAGGACATGCCCATCACCATGCCCTGCCAAAGGGAGTAGGCTGTCGCGCATATATTCATCATGCGGACCTGGGAGAGCAACTCCAATGGGTGTCAGTAGGCGACAGAGCACTCGGACCAATGCATCTGTCAGCTTCGTTCTGCGTTCAGTCATCATTCTTCGCACTGGGATATTGGGCTGAAGAATACCCATTGTCAATGGGAGTCGTGCCGGGTTAGCCTGTGCAAAAACCAGCAATTCACATCTACTTCGTGTGTCACCAAGGAATGCCATTTCTTCCATCAACACAGAGAAGTTTGCGTGGAAAACAATCGGTTTCGGCCAGTCTCGCTCTGGGTCAAAGTATTCCACTTCCGCTGGCTGTTGCACTAGGAGGCGGCCACAAAAGGCAAATGCGATAGGCCTGGAGACCAGGACTAGCTCAAGGGACTTTGGGGCAATTCGACGGTATGCACGGGAATCCGCGGAACGACTAGTACCTTGCATTACTTTTTCTTGGACCAGGAAAATGGCACAGCGATGTGGGCTCTCGGGGGCTGAAAACGCCCAAACAGGGCCCTGCATGCCATCACATTGGCTTCCATGCTTCCTAAGTTGCCATTTTCACATAGGCTCCATGGTGACACGGAAGGAACCGCCTTCGGATCGCTGAAGAGCAAGAGAGGATTTTTTTTTCCGTCCAACGCCGTGTGGCTTCCGCCAGGTCGTTCAACATCTATCCAAGCATGTTGCAAATGAGATTAATTATTGAATTCACGCAGGGGCCGATGCTGTAGTGGCCGCAAAAGTAAACTGGAAGAGGACCGATACATAGTCCAAAGGCTTTGTCACGTTCCAGAGAACAAAACGGAGAACAAAACCGAAAACCAAAAAACCAAAGCAAACAAAAACACCAAAACAAACACCAACAAAACACAAACAAACCAAAAACACAAAAGAAAAACAACCACAAGGCCACAAAACCGTGACGTGACAGGTTCCAGCTTATGGGTGAAACAGATCTGTTGAGGCGAGAGGTGATAGCTTGTTATCATCTCAGCGCATGCAGATGACAACTTGTGTGTCATGTTGACAGGCCCATAAAATTAAACAACAACAAACAAAAAAGACGAAATCAACATGGGCCACTTGAAGGGTGCGGGAAGCAACAAGGCTCAATGCGGAAACCAGGGATCCCCCCAGCCAGGATCCCCGAGATCACAACGAGCGCCTTCACGGCATGACATTACACCCTGACACTTTGAAGCAAACACCGACAACGCCGGGTCACAACAAAGTGGTGAGAAACTACCGCCGTGAAACAGGAGGGTGAAACGTGATCTAAGGTGAAAAAGACGGCGCGGTAACAGCACTCAGGTACCCTCAGAGTCCGCTCAGTACTGCTTTTCCAATCATCATATTGCACCGGTATTGTGAGCAGCTTCACTATGCGAGTGCTCATGCTATGCAGCTTCGTGATATGGGAGATTGTACCCATATATGGGAGTTGCAGTGCACTCTGGCGGTGTATACCGCTTTCAAAACTGAATCCAATGCGATCGAGTTCGCGAAGGGCGAGCTCGACAATATGGATGCAGGCTTGCAAGCGTTGCGCAGCTCGAGCGGTCAACTTAGCAAGTGTTGAAACCAACTGCATTAAATGCGGTCAGGTGATCATGGTAGCTAGCTCAGTTACCTTGGTGTAGGAATACGAGCGTTTTTCTCTGCCCAAGGACCAGGTCTATCCTCAAAGTGTTCAAACGAGGTTCTGGACAGGCAACTTGTGTCAGCTGTGTTAAGGTCCTCAGTCCGGTAATGTTGTATGCTCACATGCATGAGCTGTAGCTGTCGACTAATCACTTCACGTTCCGTAACATTGGAACGGGCTTCTACTCGAATGCGCAGACTTCTTATGCAACAGCAGGCTGTGCGAATGTCTCTGCAGTCTTGCTCGTTGATAACACCTGCAAGGAGTTCTGTTTGCTGCAATACGGCGTGGGTGTCTTCCAAAGTTCTGAGAGTATTCATCAGTCTGTGCACATAGTCCTGCAGTAGGAGGAGATCCTGTGCCTCATTGTGAGTCTGGGGTTCTTGAGGCAGGCATACTACTTCACTTGATTGCACTGAGCTCATATGGTCAGGTGGCATTCAAGCAATGCAGGTACTGGATTGCCTGAGCAAGACAGCAACGGGCGCCATGGCTTGATGTACTTTGACATCGCACTAAACTACCATGCAACAATTAAGGTAGCACAACATGAACAAATACAAATTAAAAACCCAGAACAGGATTAAGATATCCGCCCCCTACCGCCTCCCTTCCCCGATTGGCTCCGACATGCTGACAGCATAGGCAATTGTAGCAGGTGGCCATCAACCATGAGTACCCCATGGTGACAACCCCGCTCAACCTGAAGCAAGTGACACGCTAAATGCATGGATGATAAATTTGGGGTCTCTGCGTCACTTCATGTGGCTCACTGGAACTGCTCGTGTGAGGCAGCGCGAGGCTCTCTACTGCTACTAGCACCACTGGCTGCAGCAGCGGCGGAGGGTGGATTACTGCTTGCCGCTGGTTTCATCATTTGGGCGATAAGCGGGTGGGTTTGTTTGTCACGCAGGATTCGCGTCATTTCGCGAGCGAATGCCGCAGGGTCATCCACTAGTGCTTTCGCTTCCGCCAGTAGCCTATCAAGGACAATGGCAATGAGCATTTCACCCACATCTTTATGGATTTTATTAAACTCTGGTCCACTTCTACCTACTTGCACAGTTCCAGCACGCCCGCACTTACTCCTACGCGTAAATAAAACTCTGTCCCCGGACATGAAAACAAAATTCAAAAAACAGCGCAAGAAACATGCAACGCAAAACGACTTGAAAATTCACAGCTTCAACTTGAGATTCGGTCTCCACTCTTTTTGTCTCTTGACTGAATTGGGGAGTCGGTAGCATCTTTTGCTATTTGCGTTTGAAACCTTTGTTCCTCACGCCCGGCGGGGGTCGGGTGGGCGGGTCAAACCGCCGGGTAGTGAGGATTTTCCCACCCACCCGCCCTGGAGATGAAAAATTCAGCACAAACATTCATGGACATAAAAAAGGGGATAAACAAATCAAACAACATGTGAGGCCACACAAGGCCACGTACTCAAACGCACATGTCAGATTTGTTTTCCGTTGTTGTTAGTCCTTTTGTTTGTTTCATACAGCATCACATAAAACTTATCTATGTTGCCAGGTTGCGCAGCTGACGCGAACGCAGGAGAAGGAGAAGAACGCGGAGGGCACGCGTGCGTGATGAGGAACGCAGGAGCAAGAGGAAGAAGGAGGTGGCACCCCACCAATGGACCTCGTTAAATAAAGGCTCATCACTAAAGTGAGACGCGACTTATTAAACTCTGGTCCACTTCTACCTACTTGCACAGTTCCAGCACGCCCGCACTTACTCCTACGCGTAAATAAAACTCTGTCCCCGGACATGAAAACAAAATTCAAAAAACAGCGCAAGAAACATGCAACGCAAAACGACTTGAAAATTCACAGCTTCAACTTGAGATTCGGTCTCCACTCTTTTTGTCTCTTGACTGAATTGGGGAGTCGGTAGCATCTTTTGCTATTTGCGTTTGAAACCTTTGTTCCTCACGCCACCACCCCACTTTCAATACTCGTGAGGGACTCGTATTGCGGCTCGCATCGCAGGAAACCAAACGTCTCAAGTTCCTTAAAGTCGAGTCTTGAAGCACTATCACTCAAGTTCGATTTGGAAGGCACTCGTGAGTACCAGTGCAGCGACTGGAGTTGAAGGTCCAAACGGGCATTCAGGACCAAGAGCTCATAGTTTTCAATCACCGGGGAAAAGGACCGAATAACGGCAGAAAGTGCAGCGTTGTTGTCAATGAACCACAGGACAGAACGTTGTCTCAGCACGTTCTTCCAGGTGGCTTTGGAAACTAACACTGGAAATATTTCAGCTTGGCAAATGAGTTGTTTCTTTCCACCAGCCCTCCATCTGTCAACCCAAAAAGGCGGCACGTCGTCTCCAAACATCAGAGATCTGCCAGTCTCTGGATCAAACAGTGTTGCACCGTGGGTGATCTTTTCACCTTCGTTCTCACATGCACCATCTGTAAAAACAACTATAGGGGGTCTCACAGACCAAGCACCAACTTCTCTGGCGGGTGCTTCGGACAGGCACTTGAAAGCGTCTCGCACCACCGTTTTGAACCTGTCATCAAGCAAAAACATTGGCCCTCTCCGCGCCAACCTGGAAATCAGTTGTTTAGAGAGTTGGGTGCACCGGCCAAAAGTGTGGCCTGCTGCGTACAGCAAACGACCCTTCAAAGTTTCAATGACGGACAGGGAAATGGAGTCGCGACTGCATACGTCTTCTACTAAGGCTTTTATGTCCGCCATCCTGCTCGGTTTGTTGCTGACCTTGACCAAGCCCTGTTTGCACATTGAAAGGTCTACGACAGCGCCCAACATCTGAAATTTGCAGTCGAACGGAAGGCGCTTTTCTTCCGACATGGATATTTTCCAACCAAGCAACCTCATGACCATCTCTGCAGTCTCCCATGATGACGCGCACAGCTCATCCGTCTCAAGCTGGCAGAAATCGTCGAAAAAATTTGTATTGACGATCATGAAGAGTTCCGACATAATAAGCCTCAGGGCACGGGCTACTCGGTTGAACGCCATCACGGCGCACACCGAGCCGAATGGGAGCGCCACCGACTCATAGAATTCCACCCGGGAAGAGCTCGGGTTCCAAACAGCAAGAATTGACGCCCATGCGTCACGTGGGTGCCGGGCCAGTTGTTTGTAGGCCGCCTTCAAATCTAAAGCGCGCCCTTTCAGGCTCTTCCAAGGACCATGCCAATCTCTCAGCTCCGGCTTGCTGCCAACCTGAGAGAAGTCTTCATTCACTTCAAGTAAATCAGATCCCAGGAAAGTCCTGGCTGTGTTGATCACCTCATCAATTCCAAAAAGTTGTAAGCGCTCCGTGGAAGTCACTGAAGCGTTGACCAGGAACTCGCTGAAATCGTCAACTGCACGCACCTTTTGCCCTTGCCGCACCCCAAAACGTTTTGACGGAATCCAGCATCCATCGTACTTAGTGTCCAGCTCTTGCTGGTTGAAAGGGCCTCTCACCCAACCATCAGCCAGTTGTTGCATTGTCTCATCATAGACGGACTGTGCCACCTCAGGATCTAAACCAACTCTCTGGCAAGACGGTTGTATCATCCTCTTAGCCCAAACTGCAGAATCCTTCAGTTGTTGAACAGAAATCAAGGCTGGTTTCAGCTTTGCCGGAAATTGGCCTGACTCCGGCATGTCTCCCGTGAGCGAGAAACCATGGATGAGCTCGTCAAAAAGCCCTTTGTCGCCCACATTTGCTTCCTCCGCCATCTCTTTGAAAAGGAGCAAGCGCTTTGGCTCAAGAACTGCCCTGACATCCTTGTCCAAGGTGGCTTTGAGAGCTTCCTCCTCTTTCATGAGAAGCTCAGCCCTTGTTACAAAACGCCTAAGCTGGGTGGCTCTGTAAAGTTTTACATCTGCCGCGCTGTGGTCTCTGAGAAAAACAATTGCACGCAAGTTGCTTCTGTCAACCAGTTGTGGTGTGTCAAGAGGGTGTTCCACATGCAAGGCACGTCCCAAAAAATCCCAAGGTGACGAAAAAACACCATAAGTGGATCTCATTCCCAGCTTTTTCTCGCCATCCAACCCCACTTCAGAAAAAGTTCGAGAAGAAAGCAGCTTTGCACCGACCGGAATTCCTTGAAATGGAGGTGGAGAGTCCTCTGCAATGCATTGTGGTGGAACCGTTCCCGATGTAGTGATGTCCACTTTGAATTGGAATTCTGCCATGAGGACAGGTGATCGTCCTCCTCTTGGTTGGGTGCCCGACCCAATTTTCTGCAGTTGCTCAGTGTGAGCGCCATGACAGTGCAGTTGTTTTCCTTGTCTTTGTATTTGTTCCAAAAAGGCCCACGCCAACTGCTTGCAAAGAGGCGCAGGATACTCAGTTTCGAGGCTTGTAGAAAACTTTAGGCCTGCATCTTTTGTGTCGACCATGCCCCAAGGGAGATGGTCATGGTTGCCATCGCATTGTAAGAGAAGGTTTTCTGCGTGGAAGTTCATGAGAAATGCCGTGCTCTTGCGTCTCTTACTTCCATACATACACGCATGTATATACTGAAAAAAGCAACATGCTGGTAAATCAGAAAAAGCATCTGTCTGCCACATCAAGGACCTGCGAGGGTTCTCACAAATAAACGGTATGCCAGCATCATTGCAGGCCTGCATCACCTGTCTGGTGAAAGCATACAACTTGTTTGCAGCCTGCACCTTTATTTTTGCGATGCCTCTCAGATGCGGCAGCCCGTTTGGCCACTTATCTGATCTCAGCGGCGTTGGCTGCATACCACAGCGCTCTCTGAGACGCCTCGGCAATGGAATTTCACGCGCTCGTGAAGATGTTCCGCAAGGCGGCGCCAGCATGACCCCATCAACCTTGCCTTCTCTTATCCACTTCAGGACGGTATCTTGTCCAGGTTTTTTGGCTAAGTCTACCTTTGCCACCGGCCCTTTGACCCTCCTTTTGTCGACCAAATGGTCGATTCCAAGTGCTTCTCCTCCTAATGACTGAAATGCTGCTGCAACTCCTGCTGTGCCGCAAAATAAATCCAAAAGAAAAAGGTTTCTGCCCTGATGAGCTATCCCATGCAGGTCAGTTTGGGCTTCAACTTGATGAAGCCCATCATGGTGGCTCGACGCAACTTTCTCGTCGAGGTGCTCAAAAAGAAGTGGAATCCCTTCGGATCCATCCAGACCGCCATCCAAGCGCTGTCGCTTCGATGTCAATCCAAACCTTTGACACTCACTGTCATTGGTTGCAGCGGTCTTGCGCTTTCGCAAGGCGGCTACCTGAGGACCTGCGTCCCCACACAGAAACCTCTCCTGATTTCTGTCTTCTGGGTGCTCTAGTCAAGCACCTTGTTTATGGGCACTGATGAAACTGTGGCCCTTGCCGCAGCCTTTCTTGCAGCACTTATGGAGACCTTTTTGACAATCTGTCGTGCTCTTGCAAGTTCCCAGATTGTATCCAAAGCAGTAAGGCTGCCCTTCGTCATTGCAAGGCACACACCCTGAGAGCTGTTTGGGCATCGGGGTGCGCTTCAATTTCTTCAATCTCGCAGCTGCCTCCTTTGTCTTCTTGGCGACCTCGTTTCTGTTGCGCTTCGGCTCATTGTCAGCCGGTGTTCTGTTGCTAGGCGCCGGTTCTGTAGATGCTTTTCCAGTCATCTTCTTTGGCATGGGCATGAGCATCCAGCGCAACTCCGGCCCATCAAGGATTTGCTGGACAGGGATGTCAAGCGGCAGCTCGCCGGCTGGGCCTGGTCGCAGCCCTCCTCTGGTGGCCTCCGCAAGCCTCACATGCATCTCTCTGTCCGCCGCTGCCAACTGCTGGAGACTGACAGCAGAGAAACCTTCCATTGGCTCCTTCTTCAGCTCAAAGAAAAAGAAGTTGATCACCTTCTCGTGGACCTCAAAGCTCATGGCTTGCGCCACTTCGTACGCCACTCCCCTGCGCCTCAGCGCGTTGTGTACGTCAAGTTCAGTTGTCAGATTTGCTGACAAGGAGGGCTCTTTATTGACTGCTTTGATTGCACCTGAACTGTCCGTTTTCCAAACTCTCAAGTCACCATCTTCCTTCACATTGTTGACTTCCTGTGTCCTTGAAGTGCATCGTGCCCATTCCACGTACCTGACCCTTCCGTCCTCCACGCACTGTACCAAGACATTGATAAGCTGGTGAGAGGGCTCCAAGACATTGGCAATGATGAGCGGGCGAACCCTCTCCTGTAGCAGCTCCAGCCTCTGAGCAATTTCAGGAGCCGGGAGCTTTCGTGGAGCTTCCAACTCACTTGAATCCACCTTGCGTCTCAAGTCTGCCGAGGTCAAAGTGTGCGCCTCGAAGAAAAGGCGCCTCAGTTTCGGCGCGTCTGCATGATCTTGCGCCCCAAGCAGTGGGATCACCACTCCATCCACAAAAGCCTGTTCATCGGCCCCTGGCTGCGTAGTTACGCAGAAAGCAAACGTCGCATGAGTTGTCCAGCCCCTCAAGGCCATTGCATTGACCGTTGCATCGGGCAGCCCAATTGTACGGGCCCTTCCTTCAAACACTGCTGCACTGTCTACAAGTGACATGGCTCACTTCAAACTACCGCAGGGTTGCAAACGAGTTGAGAAAAAAAAATTGACACACCTGAAACTGCATTCAAACTCATGTCAATCACTGAAACGCACTGGCCTTCCAGAAGAAAGTTTTTTTTTTTGACAGCTTTCTGTCTTTAGAGCCACGGTCCACGCACACTCAAGTGATGGCTGTCCTCTGACACCGTGGCACCCCTTTGCCCTCGTGATGCCAAAAAAAATAAAAATTTGTGGGCTCATCTCAGGCCTCCTGACTTCATGACTCTTCGTTCAAACTTGTCAGAAGCAGCACGAAGCAAGGAGTTCACTTTTTTTTCCCGTGTGAAGTGATCAGTGGCACTGAGACGTCTCTGCACTCTGCGTTCAACATGATTCAATGAAACAATAACACATTGAGTCTGATGACCACGAGTGAACGCTAAGGCTCTTGCTGTCAAAGAGCTGCATCGACTTCATGCACTACGACGCTAACGCCCGTCCGGCGCATTCTGCGAGGGGCCAAGCTCGACATGTCATGACAGTCAAAAAAAATTGAAAGAGTGTAAAACGACGCAAACACATGAGAAACAGTCATCAAGAAAAACAGACCCCTTGCCACTTGAGACTGAGAGCCCTGCCTTTGCAGAGATTGACGTCTGCCCGTCAAAATTGTGAACTGTGTCTGACTGCATTTGCACTCCGTGTTCAAACACTTTTGAAACACTCTGCAGCAACATGTCTGGAATTTCCTCACAAATGGAACATGATGTCAAATGCACTCTAAGGTCCTTGCTGTCAGATGGACTGCACCGTCTTGATGCACTAGGGCTCTGGTGCCCAGATCGCTAGCAGGGCAACAGTGACATGGTATGACTCAGAAAAAATCACGTGTACGCCAACTACATCGTGAACAGTCAAACCAACGTCAAATCATCTAACCAAGCAAGCTGAGTGCCCTGCCTTTGCAGCGGATTTCGTTTCTCCGTCCAAACAGTTCTACGGTGTTAGACTGCATGTGCACTCATCCAACGAGAAAACAAAATTTCACAGAGGTGAACTGAGCTCACTGCAATCACAGACCGGCATGTTTCACATTGCAAATGACATCACACAATGACTAAACAAGCAGCAAATAAAACAGAAAAAAAAAACGACTGAAACACAGTGCAGTAAGGTCTCAACTCACAAGTCGATGACCACTCGCTCAAGGAAACAAGACATTCAAGTTTCATGCAAGCACTGCAGTTTCGTTTCAAGCAAGTTTAGTCATCAGTGAAACAACGTGAACACTTGTATGGGAAGTAATTTCCAGCCCTAGCAATCTCCTCAAAATTCTTGGAAGCTACCTTCCCACACCTCAGGATGACTGCCTCGCCATCAGATTCTTCAAAAAGGCCGTTCTTTGCAATGTGGCAACATCCACTGATCACATGCCTATAAACGACATCACTGATCCTATCTTCCAAGTCTTCAGCGAGGTCCCGGCCAACGATCTGAGCTGCAAGATCTGTTTCTGCATCTTCCTGTTCATGTGGATGCTCAGGACTGGCAAAAAGAGGTCGATCCTCAGGCTCGCTGATCGAAGAAATTGAAGCCTGCCCGTCAGATTCGTCACTTCCTCCCAGTGAAGGGGAGTACCCATCTGAGGCAAATTCCACTTTGTTCCAGCCATCTGACTGCTCAGCGGTATCCAGCTCGCACATCGCACCATCGTTCTTCGAGTGATACCAACCATCCTCTGTAGCAAGCCTTGAAAGCTCAGCCATCACCAGCTCCAAGGAGTTGCAGCCCTTTCTAGGCCACCTTCGTGATCTTGCTGCATCTGGGTCGAAAAAACCATGTTGTATTGCCAGTAGAATACCCTCCACTGCATGTAAGACAGGCGCCTGTGCGTCTCTGCTGTACTCCAAGGCCATGCGACTCTGAGGGTCTACATGGTATCCAGCTAGACGACGTAAATCTCCTGAACATCCAGCCTTCGACATCATGCTCAAGATAGTTGCTTTCAATGAATGGGTTCCCAGGTCCCGCAAAGGTGGCGCGGGCAGAAATCCTTTTAGAAGTTCCCGCAGCCAAGAGGTGGCTTGACTTGCTTCCAGCGGCAACATCGACCAGCCCCCTCCACTCACTGGCGCTGGCATTGTAGGTACTCCTTGAGCGGCTTGTAGCCCATGTGACTGCCGATGTTCAAGCCACGGAGTCGCCCAATCCTGTCCAGAAACACCTGGGATGACACAGGCCGCCGGCAGGAGCCTCCTGGATAACTTCTGACGACCTGCAGTCTTGTGATGATACAGTTGGCACTCCAAGAAACCACGCTCTTGATGCAAGTCAGTATAAGGTTCATGTACACAGAACTGACCATCCGACCAACGTAACCTCATATGAAGCACCATGCAAACATACCCAGCAAAAATCCCTTGCTGTCCGCAGTCAGAAATAGCCAGCTGCTCGAACATCGCCACTTGCCTGGCAGTCAATGGCACCTTCTTCTTTGGAGCAACAAATGGAGCCACTGCAGCTCCCCGCACACGTGGTGATTTCATGGCTTCACCAACATCAGCACCCAACATGTGATGTGCGAATGTCAAGGCCTCCACAAACCGTGATGCCTTTGACCTCGGTGCATTGTGCTCCCTGAGTTCATGTACATATAGGTACGCTTCCTCTTCAGAGATCGGGAGAAGAAAGGAGTCAAAAGTGATTCCCTTTTTCCAGCGCCCAAAATCCATCAAGGACGAGGCCCTTGCCCGCAAAGTTGCCACTGACTTTCCGGCCAGAGCGTCAGAGATCGTCTGCTCTATCGCTTTGGCCTCTGGGTCACCTTGTAATGCCCTGTAAATCTGTTGCCCAACCAAAGACCCTTGTAAGTTGTCCATGACTATGATCCGCCAACATTCCAGGACTCTCGCCAAGGCACGATCTTGCGCCAAAGGCCATGGAATCCCTGTTGTCTTCTTAGACCACTTGACTTTGCCTTCAAAACATTCCTTTGCCAGTGAAATTGGTTCCTCAGACTCCCTCACTAAAGGCGCAAACACTGGTGGAGAGATCAAACGAGATCTTTTGTTGAAAAAACTGCGCAACGGTTCCTGTTCCCACGGCAGCTTAATTGAAGACCTCTTCACTCCAAGTTTGAAGGCTTCGGCATGAACAAAAAGATCCATGGCACTAACAGCAAAGAAAAAACAGGCACAGAATGCACCTTTCTGCATTTCACTCACTACCCCCTTTCAAACCGCCGGGTAGTGAGGATTTTCCCACCCACCCGCCCTGGAGATGAAAAATTCAGCACAAACATTCATGGACATAAAAAAAGGGGATAAACAAATCAAACAACATGTGAGGCCACACAAGGCCACGTACTCAAACGCACATGTCAGATTTGTTTTCCGTTGTTGTTAGTCCTTTTGTTTGTTTCATACAGCATCACATAAAACTTATCTATGTTGCCAGGTTGCGCAGCTGACGCGAACGCAGGAGAAGGAGAAGAACGCGGAGGGCACGCGTGCGTGATGAGGAACGCAGGAGCAAGAGGAAGAAGGAGGTGGCACCCCACCAATGGACCTCGTTAAATAAAGGCTCATCACTAAAGTGAGACGCGACATAGTTGGTCGGCCGGCTTGGATCTCGGCGAGGATTGCCACTGCCTTGTTTTCACACACAGTGCGTTCCCATTCTTCTAGAGCTCTTTGCGCCAGGGTGTCCGTCTGCGGTGGGGCTTTTAGGGCAGCCGGTGTCCCTAGTGTTCTTATGAAGGGGCTATCAGGGGGAACGGGGGATGGGAAGTGCTGAATGGCCGCTACTGCACGTTGCACGTCATTTGTTTGTACATCATATGACGTGGTTGTTTTTTTGCTTATGGCAGGTTCGGAGTCGGCCCATAGTTGCTCCAGTGTGTATCCTGGTCTCGGTTCCATATACTTTCGGTTCCATACTGCATGATGGGACCATTGGGGCGCGTCACGGTTGATTTCTACTGAATCCCTTTTCATGTCATATTCTTTGAGCATATCATCTAATTCTTGTAAGCTAGCAGCTCTGTGAATACAGCATTGTCTGACAGCGCCATCAATGTGGAGTGGCCATCCCACAGGCATATGGGAATCTTCCAGGAGTCCGTCACCATTTTCCTCTATGATTGTACCCAACATTGGGACATCGATAGTTGCTTTAAGGCTGACTTGTGCACGTTTGCACTTCCATGTGTCAGGTGCTAAGAGACCTCTGCCAGCCAGCAGCTCAAGTGACTGGAATTGTGGTTGGTCAGTCGCTGGTAGCACCTCTTCTTTGATGACTAACTTCAGCCCATGCAGTGGCTGGGGTTGCTCTTTTTGAGGGTCTTGAGGTTGCTGGGATGTAGTGTCCCTGGGTGTTGTGTCTTCAAACCAGGTGGGACGGACTGACTGGACTCCTATGGAACTTGCAGAACTTGTAGTTTTAATGCTTTCTCTGCACAGGCTATGATAGACGGGCGGGATCATCCATGCCGGCACAAAGACTGTGATGAACTGCACATTCCAGATAACCTGTAGGTTCTGCGGCTTGACTTCAGGCGTGATACATCTTACTTGACCATCGATCACTCTAGTGTATGATTCAGAGCGGTCGAAGGACGCTGTGACTTTCAGGCCTAGATAAAGTTCTCTAAACCAGTATTCCTTAAGCATCATAAAGGAAAGGTGAGGTGCCCTCACTTCCAATACGTGCGAGGCTGGCATTAGAAGAGTTACCATCCATTCAGCTAAGAACTCAATCATTTTGACTTCGAGTTTAGGGAGGATGGCTTGAACTGCTCGTAGTGCACCCGCGATGTCCGGAACATGCCTACGCGAGGGCAATCCAACTGTTCGCTTGGCATACTCGTCAGCAAAATAAAGTCTGCACAACTTTGAGACCCATTGGCTCGGTTTCTCCATGTCTATGGTGATCTTAGCTAGGGGCCATGGGTCTGGGAGCGTGGATAGACAATGCAACAATTCGGAGGTTAGGTCCGCCGAGATGACGGGGAGGGC